CACACAGGTGAATAACGCTGAATTGAATGAGATGGTGGAAGCCGATCCGAGTCAAACTATGTAGGGATTAGTTATGGTATGGTTTAACGTTACCCTACCTACAACATTGACTCATTTGCATCAAATCAATAAGATAAAAAAATTGAAAAATTTGTTTTGCCTTACGATTTAATTAATCTTCAGAAAGAAATGCGTGTTGAAACTTGTGTTGCCTTGTTGAATCGGTACAGAAATGAAGGAATATTGGATCGAATTGACATGTGACGAAAAGTGGATTGTTTGAGATAACCATAAGCGAAAAATGAAATGGTTAACCACGGAAAAGTTATGTTAGTCACTATTCTGTGGCCGCAACAGTGCCCTTAAGCAAAGCTTACCAATAAAAAGGTAATGGTACCTGTTTGGTGATATTTTCATGGTGAATAACACCTAACAACTATACCTTTTTCAGGTCTGGTCAGGCAATAACAGCAGATGTTTACTGTGCCGAATTCGAACAATGATGGCGAAACTGGTAGTGAAAGAGCCATTGCTCCATGATAACGCAAGACCTCACACTGCACGAAAAACCATTGTAACTCTACAGGAGCTGCAGTTAGAAACCATACGTCATCCTCCGTACTTGCCAGACCTTGCTCCAACAGACTACCATTTTTTTCGTGATTTGGACAATTTACTACGTGATAAAAAAAATCTTCCTAGGAGACAGTACAAAATGCTTTCACACAGTTTGTCGAATCTAGAGTCCATAAGTTCTATCGTAAGACATAAATGAAGGGGAGGCCTCTTTCTGTGAAGCTGTAATGCTCCAGAAAGAGAACGCTAAACAGGATCGGGACAGGACCGATCTCGAGCGTAAAGGACGTCGACGGCGATATCAACCGTACACAGGGCAGCAGGCTGCCAGAGAGTGGGAGCCTCTAGTGGCACATTAATCTTGCGGTAGGCGATAGGTTGGCGGTCTGGTCGCAAAATGTAATCGGGCCGCAACACATATTGATTGGACGAGGCGAGGAGAAAGCCTGCTTCCCTCGGGATAGGGCCTGGCCTGGCGCGGCTTCGATCCATTGGGCGACCTGAAATAACATGGCCTCCTCCTCCCCAGAGGTAGGGCGCTGTCGGGGGGGTTTTTAGTAGGAACACCAAATAATGTAGATTCGTTGAAGCTTAGTTTGAAGTTAAAATAAAGTCTACTCAATAAAGAATATTTAAGATTGAAGGACTGAAAGTAATACTAGGTAATAAATATTCATACACCAGGGACTTCCTTTCTAGGGTATACCTGGTTCCCCGGCTATTAGTACCCGAGACGGCGTGCGGTTTTAGTCGGTTCGAGTCCGATAGGTGGTATCCGAGGGGATTTCCGCATGGAAAAAAAAAGAAAAGGTAATAAATATTGCTGCCTACTAATACGGTAAATTAACATCAATGTTAAGTCAACACACATGTTTATAATTTTTTTTAAATCGATAAAATCGACAGATTATCTCATGCTTTTAAAATTAACACTTGAACACGCTAGCTATAATATTGTACAACAATATGTACGCACTATTTATACACATACGAGGGGTGATCAATAAGTAATGATAATCGAGTGTTTCTAGAACGCACAAAAACCCAAATTATTTTTTTTCTGCTTGCTTATATATCCACTACTTCAGCTTCAAAAAAATGTATAAATAGGACACCATTACCGGGAGATACATTCATTTGAATACGAACTGTCGAAGAGAAAACATCAAAATGGAGAAAAATGAAATAAGCGCTGTCATCAAGTACCTCTGCCTGAAAAAAATGTCTACCAAAGACATACACAGCGACTTAGAGGAAACATTGGGGGAGTCTGCTCCTCCATATTCCACAGTCGCACGCTGGGCAAAGGAATTTAAGCTGGGCAGAACCTCCACTGAAGATGAACATCGCGAGGGACGCCCTTCCACGTCCCTTACTGGAGAAAACGTCAAAAAAGTGGAAGATATCGTGTTGGCCGATCAAAGGGTGACCGTAAGGCATGTAGCTGAGGTCACAGGGATCTCCTATGGCAGCGTTCAAAAAATCATTGTCAACAAAATGCATATGAAAAAGGTCTCTGCGCGTTGGGTACCGAGAATGTTAACCGACGAGCAAAAAAAGAAACGAGTCGACATTTCGAGGGGGAATCTTCAAAAGTTCCAGGCCGATAAAGAATTTTTTTTGTCGCGTTTTGTGACCACGGACGAGACCTGGATCCACCACTTTGATCCCGAAACCAAACAACAATCAATGACTTGGAAACGAGCTTCCTCACCAACGCTGAAGAAATTCAAAGTGTCAAGTTCAGCGGGAAAGGTTATGGCGTCTGTTTTCTGGGATTCAGAAGGAATTATTATGGTGGAATATTTGGAAAAGGGGGCCACTATAACAGGCTCTGACTACGCAGGCCAAATAAGAAGATGGCGAGAAGCTATTAAGTCAAAAAGACGCGGTAAACTGCGCGCTGGAGTGCTGTTTCACCAAGACAACGCCCCGGCTCACAAAGCCGCAGTTGCGATGGCTGCCATTGAAGAAACGGGGTTCGAACTGCTCGAATACCCTCCCTATTCGCCAGATCTAGCTCCCAGTGACTTCTACCTCTTTCCTCAGCTCAAAGAACACCTCCGGGGCAACAAATTTGAGGACAATAGTGAAGTGATGGCCGCAGTAGAGGCATTTTGGGAGGGTCAAGACAAAGAATTTTTTTCTAAGGGAATCATGGGCTTAGAAAAAAGATACACTAAATGTATTAACTTGCAAGGAGACTATGTTGAAAAATAAAATACTTTTTTTAATCTAATAGTTCTGTTTCATATTGATTATCATTACTTATTGATCACCCCTCGTACAAAGTTTCAGTTCCAAGTCACGATTAGAAGTAAGTTAAAATTAATTTTCAAGGTTTACTCACAAAGTTACTTTTTTAGTTAGTTAGAAAAGAAGTTCATAAAAGTTTTTCAATAAATTGTTTTTTTTTTGTTTCTTTTTTTAAAAGACAACTTGTAAAAGACAATTATTTATCTATTATACAAAAAGTATTTCGCGTTTTTAAACTACAGCGCCAGAAGGAGGAAGGGTTTTCTTTGTCGAGTGCATGTATGAATATTTCTTTGGCACGTTCTTTAGTTTGTGGCGTCGTATTAATTGTGAGAGTGACAAGTTATTAGAATCGCCGGTTTGTAAGTTTTTTGCAGTCGGGTTTTTTTGTTTTTTTTTTTAATAATTAGCTCGTTAGAATTAACATATTGCCTATACCTACGAAATAAGAACTTATCTAATATCTAAATAACAAGTTACTAGGTATATTGTACAAGGTAATAGTGGTACTTTAAATATCATCTTGGCCGTTTGGACTTGTTCAGTCGATAGGGATATTATTTCCTACTGAATACTTTATTAGTCCGTACAAAGTCATTAATAATTAATTATTCATTAAGCTCACCGGGCCAATTAATTATTCAAGTGAACTAAAATGAAACGGAAATAGTTTGAATCACAGATTATCTGCAAACACATTCTCACTTTTACCAAACGCATGGCTTAAAAAAGGACTGCATCAGCCGGGACGGGTTCATTGAAAGTAGACTTCAGCCATAGAGCAACAACCGGCCCTCCGGTGGCCTGTGTTACTCTATGTTGGCACCAGTTAGGTATTCGGTCCTTTGAGTCGACATTTGGAAAAATTGTGAAAATACATCCTAATTGCTCATGTTATTAATATCTTGATGTCCATCCGAGATAATATAAGATTTTAAATAGGAAATGCCTACTTATAATTTTATTAGCTGGCCAATATATTAATATGTGTATAGTTATGTCGGTATATTGTTATAATTCAATGTAGTTAGTCAAAACTCTACAAGTTTCACCTTACCGCTTGTCTTTTTTTTATGGGCTGACCAGCAAAATTTCTTCTACATTTCTCAAAATAAAAATAATAAAATAATCATAAAAATTCTTTATTTAAAACTAAAAACACAGATTACAATATTTCAAAATGAATAAATGCTCCCCGTTTTTACAACATTTGTCATTAATGCTCGGCTCCCATTGGTCGTAACGTGGTGTATATATAGCCTATAGCCATCTTCGATACATGGGCTGTCCAACACTAAAATAAGTATTTTCTGAGATAATATTAGTATGGATTAAATTAACTATAATTTAGCATAAAAAATTACATTCAAGATCAATGAAATAATTATTACCCTCTATGAGAAACTATAATCATGAATAGTTGTCGTAGTAATATCTTAGTAACTTAGTATCTTAGTATTTAAGTATCTTGAAAATAATGAATTTAAATGAAAGTTTAGTTTGCCTTTTTTTCTTTTCTTTTTAGGTTAAAAGCTTATCAAAATAAACTCATCCTAGCTGCTACTATACAGGATAATATGAATTGTTTATGAAATAGACTATGTCTCGGCGCTAATGGAGGCTTAAGTAATATCGTTCCTACTTTGTCGTATCAGGTTTCTAAACGTAAAAGGAATCCATAATACGTTAATCGCTTACTTACTTAAACTAACCTTCAAGTCCATTTAAAATATAGTTTTTTTCATGGCGTAGACAAAGTTAGGCATACACCTTAAGTGTACATTACTCTCAGTGATATATGTCATAAAGAAATACACATATACATATACTTAAGTTGTTTAGATAAATACTCGTGTTTATCAATACCTGAAGGCATACACAAATGCATATTATAACATTCGTAGTCTTACTAGATAATGGGCCAGTCTTTTCCAATCTTTCAAACATATTTCTTCTTTCGTATTATAATCACTACTACTTAAAAAAATACGTAACAAATTGTTCAACGCACGTCAAAATTATTACACACCTATAAGACAAATGAGATAGACGACGTCAGGCATATATGAATATATAATTATTTCAGTATCAATAAAGTACAAAATTCAAACGTTTTTGTACAACTTTTCCCCCCTTTCTCTATTGAACTAATAATTTTAGAACAAAGTATGTTAGTAAGTTTTGAAAACAACAATTCATAAACTACTTTCAATTAAAAACAAAAACCTATAAAGGGTATTTTTTCATGAATGTATGTTTTAAACATAATTAATAAGCACATATACTATCCTATAGCAAAATTAATTTGTGTCGTTTATTTTCAGAGAAACTATCTAGAACAGTTCGGATACTTGAAGAAAGGCAGCCCAGAAGTTGGCAACTTACAGCTCGGTGACAGTACACAGGACTACGAGGACGACTTCAGACTCGCTGTAAAGACTTTACAAGTTAGTATTAATTTAAACCTTCATAGCATATTGCAATCCACTGCTGGATCTAAGCCTCTTCCAATATGCATCATAGCACCATAGCTGTTATCTTTACATAGTATAAAATAAAGTAGTTTTTTTGTGTTATACCTACGCTTAGATCTTTTAAACGTAGCAACGGATTTCAATGCGGTTTTCACCAATAGATTCAAGAAGAATAGATTCAATAGATTCAAGAGCAAGGTTTATTAGTATTATACATGCATATTATAGTAAGAAAATCCAAGAATTTCAAAGATTTGTCGGAAAAACATGTTTTTGTACGCTTACATTGCAAACGACGGCTAAACCTTACAAGACTACCTTACTAGACCAAAAAAATGTACTATGGAATTGTGTATCTTAAAAAGTTTTACAAAAAAGTCCGCGATCGTATATGTGTATCTCCAGGACCCACAGTAACCATTTTTATTTTTTAAATATTACATAAAATAATGTGTTAATAACGAAGCTATTTTAATACGTAATAATACGTTCCATACGTTATGAGGATTAAAATTGCAGTTATAATGTAGATTAAAATGGCTCTTTACCGCATATCATTAAAATGAATATTTTAGAAGATATTAGAGGTTTAAAATGCGGGGGCCCAACGACTGTCGAGCGTACGTCCATCCCGGGTGGCAGCAGCCGGCAGGATCGTAGCGGGCCTATAAATATGTATTGCATTTAAAGGTGTTCTGTAGTATAGTGCTATTATAAATAAAATTAAATAAAAATAAGCCTTTATTTCTACAACAACTTATGATATTACAGCTTATACTTAAGATTTATATGTATAATATTATAACGTTTACTTTAAGATTACCATACCTAATATACCTACTTTATAATTAAGTAGGTATGTAGTTGTTTGAAAGTCGCTAGTAAAGTAATATTTAATAGTGAAAGCGATATTTAGTGGTCGGACGTTTTATAAGTAAACTTGTTTTTTTGTCTTGAACGTAGTGTGAGTTCTAACCAACATATTTTACATAGTATAAAAAAAGTTCGCTTCCCGTTCTTGTTCGCTTAGATCTTTAAAGTAAACAACAAATTTTAATGCGGCTTTCATCATAAAGAAAGTAATTAAAGGGTAGGGTTTATATATAATACATTATACCCGTGCGAAGCTCGACGAGTTCTGTTAGGGACCTACCAGGGTACAAGGAAAGATAGAACTATATATGGATACACATAATACTAAAAGGCATCGATATATTGGTACGAATCTGCCATAGTTACTGACTTGTAAGAACATATGTTACTATGCAGGAGGTAGGACACAAAGGCTTATGACAAAATACGTCTTTTTCAGGAATACGGTGGGATTCCAGTGACTGGTAAGATCGATGAAGCTACGGTGACACTGATGAAGCAAAGGCGATGCGGGCGACCAGACCGAGAGGACGGTGACCAACATCAACACAGGAGGAAACGGTTCTTGGTGCAGAAGGGCGAAAAGTGGAAACACACCAACTTGACATGGAGGTAAGTCATTTTTAATAGGAAACGTTAAGGGATTTCGAGGAGATTAAGAGGAGGATAATTGTAGTCTTAATCTTTTATTATTTGTAATAAATTTTTAATATGCACCATAAAAAACATCAAACCTTTTCTAAATTATTTCTTTGTAAAATTTTATATCAATCCGTTCAGAACTTAGTCATGAAAAATATAAGAGACTAACATAATTATTTACTAACAAAACACAATATATCAAACTACAGGTAAACAGGGGTTTTTTTACGATTCACCTCTCACTACGACAGGGTTCTGCCACTGGCCTGTAATAAATGTTAATAATTAAACAAAAAGAATGAAATATGTACATAAAACAAAATCATCATCATCAGCTGCCTACCCTTATCCTAATTTTTTTTTGGGGTCGGCGCAGTAAGTATGTATGATTCTTCCATTTTACTCTATTATTTGTCATCTTACTGTTTACTCCTTTCCTAGCCATATCCTCACTCACACAGTCCATCCACCCTTTCTTTGGCCTTCCTCTTCTCTTGTACCCATCAACTCCCATACCTAACACCTTCTTAGCCACATTTTAGTCATCCCTCCGCATGACATGTCCATACCAAGATAACCAATTAATTCTTAACTTTTCATCCAGTGGCGCTACTTTCAGTCTTCCTCGTATATACTCATGCCTAACCTTGTCTTAACCTTTTTTTCAATAAAATATTATTAATGTAAAAAAAAAAATTAATTATTTTAGTGTGGTTGAACAAAATTACTGCCATCTATATTGTGAAATTCAAACTACATGATCTACAACGCCATCTAGTTCATAGAACTATTTTTGGGGTAAGAGCCATCTATTGATAGTATGTTGTACTAGTTAATTCTTTAGTTTTGTCCGGCCCTATATGTAACTCTCTGACAACTGATATTCCTCTGTAGATGTCTCTAAGCGCTAGTTAGTGGTAATAAAAACAAGAAACGAAGGTTCTAAAATACATATTGTTTTCATGACTTTTTAGTATTAATAGCACTAAGAACAAAAATATATTAAACAACATTTGATTGTCTTATTTAATTTGAAGACACGCTTGATTTTTTATCATCAAATAGAACTTTAACATAAGTTGATTACGCGACTTTCGACCGATATTAACAATATATGTAAACAAAAATTGTCTTATCTTCCAACATTACGTCTCCTATTTTTTATTAATAAATTTTCAATATTTGATTTCATTTTAGATTATAAATTATATGCTTAGTAATTCTTTAATTTATTTTCCTGCTCCATATTGGGTACAATATATTCATGGTAAAAAAAAGAGTTCAAAATATAAACAAGGAGTTGTTAACCACTGTAAATAAACAGTTATACGGCATTAAGTTCTGTAAGCAAACATCACTCGGTTTCACGAAATAACAAAGGCAATCAGACAGCCGTTTTTTATCAAAACAAGCAAATCAAATTCCTCGTGATAGCATTACTACGGACAAAACTGTACAAAAAGAGAGTTAGGGTGGAACACTGACGTCAGGTTTTTATGTCGAACAGTTCTTACTATTTGTTTTAAGACCACATAAAATTGATGACAAATAATAGTTAAATCACGGATCTCGTAACTTTTACGAGGCTTTCCGCGTGGCTTAATTAAAAGAATATGACCTTTTGACGCCTGCCAAAGACGGATATTTGGAACGGCAAATAAACTGCAAATATACTCTTAATTTCATCGGATATTATTTTTATTCTCATAGCACTTCACATATATGTCATGATATTTTGTCGTAATTTTCTCGAATCGTAAACAAATCATAGTGAATTTATTTTTATGTCCTCCATCCAATCAAAAGTAATATTTAACGGCTTTATTAGAAAATTTATCGGAATATACTTAGGTCTCAGGGACTTAGTTCATAAGGTCCCTTGCAATAGACTCACATGTGACGGAACACCGTATGTAGTCGGTACGATACCGACATACAATTTCACCGTGAACCCTCGTGATACAATACTATAAATAATATAAATATAAACTTTATAACACAAAATGTAAAACTACATTTTGCAGAAAAATGTTTTAATCTAAAACAGGCGAAGTAAATTGCAGCCAAAGAAAATTGCTGAAGTCAGGCGTAACTTTAATTTTGAAGTAAAATAGTAACAGGCTAATACAATAAAAAAGGCTAATACAATAAATAACCAAACCTATCAAGTAGGGTATCAAAATCAAGGAAATTAAATGGGAGATTACAAAAATATTTATAATTTATATATTTAAATTTAATAAGGAATAATAAACTGGTTTAAAAACTTTTATTAGGGTTTCATGGGTCATCACATCAACAGCCTTTAACAGCCCACTGCTGGACATAAGCCTCTCCTTAGAAAGGAGGTTTCATGGGTCATGTTTACCTATATCAGACTTCGTGCTTTTTCGGTCTTTTCAGCGCATTACTTCTAAATTGTCTATTTGCAGTTAGGTTTTTTATTTTTTAAATTATCTAGACTAGTTGTCTATATCTCTGGTTGTAATTAATGTAGGTTTTAGTTTTATAATTCGCTAGAACAAGCTCCTTTATTTGAACTTTTGTCGACTTAAATTGGTTCAGCTGGAGTGCATGCAACTGAGGGACGGGTTCTCTCTCGTCTATATATATTTTAACCAGTATAAATTAAACTGTTATTGTTTAGACGACCCATTTTGTGAGAGTTCACAAAATATACTGTTTAAGTGAGAGAAGAGTAAGAAGTGGGTAATAATTATGTTCGAATATTCCGTTACATTCATACATACCAAGCTAATAAAGGCGTGTTAAAAATCTTAAACATTACACTTACATTACACACGGTTCACCAAAACTAGTTACATGAACTTCATTTAATTACGTAGAGTTGTTCGTAGTTGCCTTCCTAGGAGCGAAACTAAAAAAAGACATATATGTAAATAGTTATGTGTTACTTCAAAGGTACAAAATATTGAGAATGCTAGATTAATTTATGCGCTAAAATATAGTACATTTAATATACTAAATGGACGACGGTAGCAAAACCCATACCAATGCACTATAATGAACCGCTAATTGCCAATCAACCTTTACACACATATATATTTTGCCTTATTCATATACTTTTAATAGTACTTCAGTTATCATCTATTTGCTACAGGTCATATTATGGAATAAATACTGTTTATTATATTAGAGTAAGTAACTGTTATATACTGTTTTTAATACTAGGTAAGCAATGTAAATGGACTTTAAGTATTTCTTAACTTGTTTGCAAAATAATCAGCATTACAGCCATACGTGAGCTTACCTTGCACATCTGCCAACTATGTTTCGAGAGCTCACCTGATCCAACGATGCCGCTCAGTCCGTGCATTTTTATATGGTACATTTGGACCAGCGCTTTGGCCGTGTGCCTGATTGTATAAAAGAAAAATACCTACCTTACAGGAATGTCTGATTTCATTACGTGTAAGCAAATGTAGGTGGACATCAAAAATAAAGGATTAATTAATAACTCAGTCACTCACTCTGTGTTAGATATATCTACAGAACTAATGGTGTTAATAATATAGCAAAACAGAAGTTGATACCACTACTATAATACATATATAAATTACGGGTAGAACCGAAACCTTTTTGGAGAGCTTTATACTTACGCCTTAAGCTTATTCCTATTTTAATGAGTTGTGTTCCGTTGGTTGCTTACTTAGATATAGAGTTTATTCAACTCAATATCCCGAGAGTGAAAAGCTCGACTGCTCACTAGCCTCTGTTTGGAGTGGAAACAACCGCAGAGCACGCGGATAATTTGAAAAGTTCACAATCACCTGCACAGTCCGCTGTTTCAGCACAATTTCCTGTCGAATTAATGGTCTGTCAATATTGTAGTCCTCCATTAAAGCTTGTTGTGCAAACAAGCAATAAAACTAGCAACGCCATCTCGCGGTGGGTTTACGAGAGCACGGCGCCAGGGCAGGTCAGACGCTGCCTACAATGCTAATAAAGCTAACAGAAAATATTTACCAAAAGTTAAAAAAAAACTAGTATTATTCGTGAAAGTATGTGTTGTCTGTCTCGCAGGATATCTTATTAATTGTATTATTCTTTATGAATTTATTTGTCTATTATTTAATTAAATGTTATTAATACTTTATCATGGGAGACTCGTGGTATTTTGAGTTTCTAAATACTTTTACATTGTTATAGCTAGCTACTGAACTCGTTGCTTTGCCTTTACGAAGGTAAACCTCTAGTCTGACTTCAGACGAAGTTCGTAGGTATTAGCAGCAGCACAAGCTATAGAAGTCGGAGCTATTCCAAATCAACGTAAAGTTGTCAAACTAAGTCGAGCCATGAGGATTATTTTCGAGATGTTCCCACGTAAATCATTACGCTCATGTCCAATCCAAAGATTGTCTTTAGGCTTTTTGTGATAATGTTAAATATTGTGCATTTTGTGTTTATATGTATGTAAATATGTTTCTTTATAATTGTTTCTGTGAACAATTAACTGTATTATTAACCTTTTTTAGCTTTGTCTTGAATTCGACTGTCTCACGAATACTTATAAACATTAGATTTTCAAACATTCACGATATTTCATATTTATATTATAAGTAGGACACTATCAGTAATGGGGATGAAAATTATGGAATTCAAATATTATTTTTGATTTATTACTTTCATTAAATTTCGATTATTGATCAAAGCAAGTTCTATCTCAATGTTGATTTAAATTGTGAGGTGACGTGATATAGATTCTAGACTAAGAGGTTTAGTAGTCACGCTTGAACCTTTTAAGTATTTAGTTTTTTTTATGTTTGTATGCCTACTGGCACAATAAACTTTACGTGCCACTTCTTTTAAATTTTCTATGGTCTGAATGTTCTGACTGATAAAATATTTATCTCACTATAAGGCTGGTTGCCGTTAGTGAAAAGTAATAAAGTAAAATGACGTTTATGTTCAGAGCTCGGTTTGACTACCATACGTTTGTACCTAGTTACGTAG